ACCATGTCATTGACCCCTTTTGTGGCTGTTTCGGTTGAGGTTACTGCGGTCGCACTTTGACTACATCGAGCAACAACGGTTGCATAAGTGAATCGGTCTTTAGAACGCTTCGGATTGCTTTGGTCAGTCGGAAAAGTGAGTGTTACCGATGTTGCAGCAGTCCATACATTTGATAAGAGTATGTGGGCGGTGTAACTAGGCATACTTCTATCATTTGCGACAGTGCGTTGCTATCCTACATAAGTCTATGTTGAGTCCACCAAAAGGCTTTTCACTTTAACATGCAAGTGATTTAATAAAATAGTGTGTGCTTAAGTGTCGCATCCAATATGCATCCCATATATATATATATATATATATATATATATATATATATATATATATATATATATATATAAGTGCGCAATTGCGAGTAGTCCTTGGCCATATCCTGTGGTTCAACTCAAGTAGAATGCCCATTTGTTACGTCAAGTTCCGAAAGATAAACAAAACACGAAGCTTCAAGCAAAAATTTGACTTCGATTAATTCTTCATCAAGCTCATACAGTAAGACACATTTGGTTAACGTCTGGCGCAATCGTCAGTGTAACAAAGAAACAATAGATCAGTAAGGTTCGTAGAAAGTAAAAGTCACGATTAAACTCCACACAATAATCTGCCTCCACGGGGAATCGAACCCCGGTCCAACGAATTTCCGGTCCGCTGCTCTACTACTGAGGTACCGAAGGCTGACGATTAGGTGGGCAAGCTAATACGTGACTTCTGCTTGGTGCGCGACGTATTGCCAGTGGGCTCACAGTACCTGTCCTGGTGTTGCAGATTGGCTCACTCACCCGTCACTTCCCAATGGACTGAAGTACCTATCCTTCGGATGTCTAATGTGCGATAGTAGATTAATTTTGTATGTTTGTGAGTAGTGATGGCATTCCTCTGATCACATGAATGAAGTCAGGTGAATTCGCGGAGTACCACTACTTCCTTCGCGGCTGGTGGTCGATTGCAACAGACGTTAACCTGATGTATATTACTGTATGAGCCTGATAAAGAATTAATCAAAAACAATTGTTTGCTTAAAGCTTCGTGTTTTGTATATCCTGTGGTGTTTGCGAAAAGATATGCTCGAGATCCTTTGGTCTCCATCCCGGGAGTTGGGAACGCCCAACAACAGCGGGTTTCAACGTTCGCGCCTTACGAATTGGCTCCAAGTTTTGCACTGGTATCCTTGTCTTCGCTTCAACCCCACACATGAGCCCGCAAATAGGGCACGTCGTGGAAGCTGCTGGATAGGCATGCGCAGCACATGCCCAAGTCAGCAAAGCCACCGCAATGAAAGGATGCTGTCGATTGATCGGCGGAGTTTGTCAGAGTTGAAGACTCGCCGGCGGACTTCCTCATTACTGATGTCATGCTGTTATCGAACACCAGCAATGCTTCATAGACAGCGGTGATCGAAGACCGCTAATAACCGCTGAACATCACTTTTGCGAACGGGACAAGTCTCACTGCCGTACAGCATAACCACATTTACCGTAGCATTGTAGACTCATCCTTTGAGCGCGAGGCTGAGGTCACGACTAAGCCACAGGTGACGAAGGTTAGCGAAAGCAACTCTAGCTTCGGAGACACGCAGGGTGATCTCATCCGTCACACCGACAATACTAAGACAACCCCCAAGATAAATGAATTCGTCGACCACTTCCAGTGGATGCTCCGAAAGGGTGAGAGAAAGACATGCACTTAGGCAGTCCTGCAACAGGACCTTATATTGGAAGGGGCAAAGAACAAACCAAATTGGCAGGCGGACATCCCCAGTCTAAGCGGCACATGCTGGGCGGCTTGAGAGGACTCGCAAATCACAGCAATGTCATCGGCGTACTCTAAGTGCCAAAGGCGGTCACCAAGGAGTACTTCAATGCCGCAGGGATCAGAGTTTTCCAAGGCAGTATCCAGGGTCTCGTCTATGGCTAAGTTGAACAAGACTGGAGAGGCTGGGCAACCCTGTCTAACACCGCTGGTGATATTGAAAGGAGAAATGTCTCCGTAGACTCGCATGCGGCCCGATGTTTTTTTAATGATAAATGGCACGGAGAATGCTGATGTACTTCACAGGTACTCCCCTCTTCAGTAAGCAGTCCCAAAGAACCACTCTGTCAACAGAGTCAAATGCAGCTCGAATGTCAAAGAATATGACTTGGTTGGTCGACTGAACGTATGGTGATGTTCAAGTATCTGGTGGATCGTAAAGATGTGATCGACACAACTGCGACCTGGGCGAAATCTAGCTTATTGTTCATGCAGGTGCTGTTCCTTTATGCAACTGAGCCTCCGCAAGAGTAGGGCAGCGGGTAGTTTGGATGCAACACAAATGAGACTGATGCCACGATGGTTGGAACAAATGGTCCGGTCTCCTTTATTGTAAACAGCTACAACATCCGCTAAATTCCAGTAGGATGGGATAGCTTCAGTAGTCCAAATCTGATGGCAGAGATGTCAGTTCACGAGTGAGAGTAGGACCCCATATTTGAAGTGGGTAGGAGGAAGTTCATCCGGGCCAGATGACTTGTGGCGCTTTAGTAGGCGAAGTTCATAGGAAACCTCAGACTCAGTCGGTGAATGAACATCCATGCACCAGGGAGCACTGTGAACCCCCGGAAGATTGACTTGGTTATGCTGGTGGCCACTTAAACTGATCTTCAAAGTGCACTGCTCATCGTACCAGAAGACGGAGACGACTGTGAATTAGTTCATCGTCGTTTTCATGCAAAACTTCACTCACTGTTGGCCTTTTACCTCCCGTAGACGGAAAAAGTTGGAAGAGTTCACGGGAGTTCTTTGTTGAGGCTGCGCGCTCCATCTTAATGAGGCATTGTGTCCACCAAACCTCGCGATCCTTCCTGTGGAGCTGTCTGGTCTCAGCACACGTGGCTCTGCGTAGTGCATTGTACTCAACTCCGGCGGGAATTGTTCGACGGCTTTCCATTAATTGGAGAGACTGTGTAGTGATCCAAACACTAGCAGCTCGCCTAGTGAAGCTACAGACCAGGATAACGAACTATTTGTAATGCACACTGGATCTGTGCACAGCATGTCTCAACATCGGAGAATAGAGAACGCAGGTTGGAGGCTAATGTGTTCTGAAATGCGCCGAGAACATTTGGGGCGGCGAGCTTGTCTGTGTCAAGTCGTTTCCGGGGACGCTGCTGGGTGCCTCCAAAGCGTAGAACGAATTTAGCACACACGAGCGCATAATCCGAAGTCAAGTAAGTGTTCCAACTTGACTTGCAGTCTATTATGCAATCCCGCCAACAGTAACTAACAGGGATGTGATCGATTTGCGTCCAAGAGTGACCAGGCGCCGGAGGTCGCCAGAAAGCTCGTTGGCGCCAGGAACGCTGGAAATTGGTGGTCGAAAGGAACAAGTCATGGCCGACGCACAGTTGAAGGAGTCGAAGGTCGTTGTCCATCTTGCGAGTACCGTGGCTGTTTTGACCCCCAAGTTCACGCTCAAGAACCTTTCGTCTATCGACCTGCGCATTTAGGTCGCCGGCGAGTAGCACGATGTCCGTGCGGCGTTTCTTGCGGAGAAGGTAGGTTAGTTGGTGGCAGAATTCGTCTTTAGCTTCGTCCGGGCTGCAGTCCGTAGGAGCGTACGCCGCCACAATGAATAAGCAGCGCCTACTGGTCCCGTGACTGAAAGGTCGCACTGTGCTTCCTAAGCGGACTGCACAAAGACGACTGTTGACCGGGAACCAGCCAATGAGCGCTGCCACAGCACGAGCGCTTAAAGCAACTCCTACGCCGGTGTAACTAGAGGAAGACGCTGTCGAATCTCCAGATAAATGCAAGGTGAATGTGCACTTGGAACTTGGGGATGGTAAGAGAAATCGCAGCATTGTACTGGAGACTTGTAAACAGGTTTCAGTTAGGCAGCAAACGTCGATTGACAGGGTTTCCAAAGTGCACGCATGAGCAGCTTCTGAACCAACCTGCATGAGCTTTCGAACATTGAACGTAACTAGCCTGAAGAGCGAGCGGAGCGCAATAAAGCCTTCTGGCTGGTGCTGGAATGTGTGTGATCGCTTTTAAACGTTTCATTGATGAAGACAAAAATATTTTTCTTAGTTGCAAATGCAATTTGGGAGACTCGAAATTGTAGGGACTACCAAGAACAGAAGGGTTGAATAAACGTGGAACAAAGAACGTGGGTTGCGGTGCGGTAGACTGAGGTTTAGCTTGCCCAGCCGCCAGCACCTCGGCCAAAGAGAGAAAGTTCAGAGATCGAGAAACGTGAGCAGACAGTCGTAAATCCAGCGTATCATGTGTTGTTTAGGCATACAGATTCCCGGTTGCCCAGGCCGAGGAAGGTGGTCGCCTTAGGGGGCCCCACCCGGAGCCTTCGGTCATAGGGACCTGACCCGTAAGGCAGCGGGGCGAATTCAAGTAATCGCGCCCATTGGGAGCCGGTGACCGATTGCTCGTTTCGTACGCCTTTCGTTTGGCTGGCTGCCAAACAGCGGCCCAATACTCCCAGGAATTCAGCGTATAGCTGACAGATTACAATGCTCCAGCGAGGCGAAGCAAGGGGCAGTGACTTTATTTAGTGGCGAGTCACATCCTCCACGTCACAGTGATGTTAAACGGACATATGTGGCTTTTTATAGGGAGAACGCTTGCCAGGCGAAAACCCACCCAGCACGTCCTTGAACACTGCCGCCGAACCTCACGCTAGAACGGGATAATCCCGAACCACCCAACTAGCACCGAGGAGTTAGTTCGGCAAATACAGTCACTCAAATATATGGACTTTACGATAATCAGGTGATAGGACACTTGACTAATGGTACTTTCTCTTCCAACGATTGTTCGTTTGTATACACCAAACTGAAGTATGAATTTCATACTAAAAACAAATTAGGTTGAAAACTGTAAATTGACTGTTTGTTTAGCATACAAACGAGTTTTTAAACAAGCTAATCGATCATTTCAATTTTCATTTTCAGGACCGAAGCGGTGTTTTGCTTTGCCCGATGGACAGCTGCCGCAGGGAATATTTAGGGATGATGTAAGTGTTACGTACCAATCGCATTTTCCTATTCCCTGTATACACCCGTAGCTCGTTTGAAGCTAAAGATCATAAACACGAATGTACGTGTGAATCTTTACTCTGGCAGTTACATCGAATCAACTGAGAAACCAATGGAACAGATGGACCAATCAGCAAACTAGGCCGTGTCTCGCTACTGATAGATGCGGTTAACGCTGCGATACAGTCACGTGAGTGAATGGGTTGTGACATGGCTCATCTGCAGCGGATGCGCCCATCCCAGCAAGTACGAGTCAAGTGAGGAAGGGCGATCTTGTTCTTATTCACATGAAACTTTCGAGTGGCCGTCACTGGAGGTTCGAATGATCAGACGATGTGTGTTAGTGCAATAGTGTGTGGTGAATGACTTTGAAACGCTGAGTGCTTAATGTGACAGTTGCGAACGTGCGCGAAAGCCATATTGGCCACTGCGATGGATCAATGTGGACAGAATAGGGCTAGTAAGCAATCAATCTGGTCCAAAGACACCACCGATGGCGTATTGGTGTAGAATGCTAACTGGTAAGAGGAAAGGAATAGGTTCAAGTATAGCATGGTACTGCAGTCGTCAATTAGCTGCCAGTCCCGAAGGGACGAATCTATCTTGTATTGTGATGGCTGTCTGACCGAACTTGGTTGTAAGATGGGGTGAGTGACACAGTCCAATAGCGTGCAAGCAAGTGTATTCTAAACGGGAGGTTGAACAGCTCTTGATGGCCCCGTCAGAAAGTGCCACCACCGCATTGTAGTGGCTAGGATCAAAGCGCTACTGCTCAACTGCAAAAGGAGACTGATATAAACAACTTGAAGCACAACAAATCGACTAGTTTGGTGACCTGCGACACTAATCGAATTGGCGATCCCGTTTGACATACGTGGCCCGATACGCTTTCCAATGAAATGTGTGCACATATTATGTATCCTGTGCTTCATTGACACTGGTCGATTCAGGTTCTATTGTGAATAGAAGGCGAGCTTCCCAATGATCGTCAGGGTTGTTCGATTCCCCATTCCTTTTCGTACATTTCAGTGTGGAGACTCATGAGGAAGGAGAAGAATGGTTAGTCCGAATTATGCGGACGACGCTACCTTACTGTTTGTCAATGCTAAATTGATACAATCATCTCTGGACGAATTCCCCGAAGTGGTTCCATCATTTAGAACGCAGTTTAACGTTTAAAAACATTTATCGTGGTTAATGGAGCACAGGTCACATGCTGGCTCTTTGTGCCTTGAAGAGAAGATGGAGCTCGTCAACTATTCCAATTCATTGAGGGCTGCCTTAGCAACAACGCGTGGGTGTCTACTGAACTCCATTTATGTATTACGAAAGAACTCCCTCCACGAAATCGCGGTATTAGCGGACAGTGTGGAGGCCTTCCCTTTGTTTCAAACCATGTATACAAGAAGGTAAAGGCTGTCACCCTTTACGGAAGTGATGCACGCTCTCCTAGATCTGAATATCTCAAGTGCCCCCTGGTTTATGACCACCCTTATTTGCAAAGTATTGCTTTTTCAAGTGAAACAGGAGTGGCTACAACCAAAAGGTGACCAGACTAGTAAGGAATAATGCGCGTATATTGCCGCACGCTAGTTATGTCAGTGCACAGTAGCCTTGAAATGGCAGTAAACAGAAAGTCAGTAACCAAACTAGATCCGTACTTGGTGGTCTCTCTTGTCTGCCACATGGGGTTTATGTAGGGATAAGGTACTATACTGCAAATAAAAAGCTTCCGCCTATCAGCCAGGAACCAGCGATATCGATGCAGTGCGTTACCAGCTAGAGGAATGTAACAGTGCAGATTGCGTCGCAGTTACTCGAGGGTTTACAAGATTGGCGCCCAGGAAGTATTGGTATAAGGCTCAAAGAAATCACTTCAGAATGCAATCCGACATTTCCATCGAATACCCGGAATTTCACATAACAAGCCCGGATAAACCGCGGAATGTTCCGGACTGTTATGATTGTCCATGTAATCTAAACCGCGCTTGACTCGGGACTTTCCACGGCGTGGTTCGCGGTCGACAATAGTAGTGGGTTTTGAGTCTTCGCTACTTATGTACTGCATGCTCATGGGCTGGCTACAGAGTGACGCAGAATGGTGAAACCTACTGGGAACCTGTCTCGTCAATGCCATCGCATCATCACAGGATGGCCAGCGTTTAGTCACCACGCAGTATGGACCAGTGTACTCGTGACTTAGATCATGCCTCTGTACTATCCTCCGATCGGTATTCCTCGCTGGTAATGTCATTGTGATTGTATGGTAACGGATGGCTAGCCGAACAACCTCCTCGTGGTGTCAGCTTGGTGGTTCGGGCTTAATCCGTTCCAGCAAATAGTTCGGCGGCAGTGTTCCAGGAGGTGGTGGGTTTCGCCTGGCAAGCGCTCTCCCTATAAAAGCCACAAATGTCTGCTTAACAACACTGTGACGTGGCGGTCGTGACTCGCCACAAAATAAAGTCACTGCCCCGTGGATATCCGGATAATTCTCTCCAACCCACGGACACCAATCTCCTACTCGCATATTGATGACAATATCAAACATTGAAGATTGGAGCAGCACAACTACAAGCACAAAATACACAGCTACATACACATACACACAATGGTTGGCGGCATCCGGTTTCGGATTTGCCTGTCACTGTGGCAAGCCACAGGACGCCTGCGCCTACAGAGGGACCATGGATGGCTTGCGCTGTACCACCCACAGCTCCAACCACACACCCCATATCCAGTGTAAACCCGAAGGATTAAGAGGCATGTGGATGGGAGCCACGTTTCATCAACGGAGCCGGCCCACACTCCTTCACAGGCAAACACAAGTACACTGTATTTGGGGAATCAAGCGCACACAAGGCGGTGGCTGGACCGTAGTCCGCTCCACACTGAGTGCATGGAACCACTCTTCGAGCCTAACACGGCCACAAGGACCGTGCACCCCGTCCCCTCCAGCAACGACCAACTGTCTCCTGGAGCCAGTATGAACGACGTAGTGGGTAATAGACAGGTAGGCACCTTGTCAACATACACATCAAGCGCAACCATACCAGGGATATCAAACAACAGCCACATACAATTTAAACGACAAGCTAAAAGAAAATAAATCCAATAATGCATACAGATACGGTGGCATAACTCTTCGCTAAATTACCATATGAAGTAAGTTGGTCAGCAACAAATCCGTGATAAGTAAGAAATGTCCACAAGTTACTTAAAATGCTACAAACGCAACAAATTACCGAAGATAAGCGCAATTAGTGTAAGCAACGTGGCCAGTTAATAGAACATTATTCAGGGAAGCAGAACAAACCAAATAAAGCGGAATGGAATTTATCCAGCTGAAAAGATCTAGTTTAATTGTAAGTTGGTTTAGCCCAACTGCGGTGAAGAAGCATCAAGAATGCAACATCAGCCTCAACATACATACATACCCCCTACACAAACACAAACTGCTATGGCAAACATATCGGAGTTTTGCACATTCCTGTTCATGCATCGTTATGTCAAAATGATCATGCCTGTAAAGGCGTGCCTCACCTTGTTGAGAATAAAATATTTATTTATTTATTTAAGTAGCGAACTGAAGTGTATCCAGTTGTATTGATTCAGGTTATTAAAAGCAATGATGATGTCAGCAAAAGTTGCGAGACTTAAGGGGAGGGTCTAAGCTGAAAAGTCAAAAATTGTGTGTTTTTCAAAGCTCGATATATATGTCTAGATATAGTCAGATCTTCATGAAATTTTGCAGGGAATATCATTATTTATCATGCAAATAATATATGATAGAGAAATAAAGATAAGTGTGTTTATTATTTTTTTTAGTAAGGTACCTAAATTAGTGATGCCGAATTGGTTGTTGTGGCGTTCTGGGTCCCATCAAAAAGTATTCTATGTATAGAGCTAAAATTTTGTGCAGTTATTTAGATATAGTTCAGCTTTAGAATAAACTATACTCAACTCTGTATCTGAATTAGATCTTCCAATACTGATGTTCAGATTTGCATAAAAATCTGAACTGAGGTTAAAAGTTGACCACAAGTGTAGGACACTTAAAATTAGTTTATTCCATGCAGAAACTAAAGAAGAGCATCTCCTCCAAATTTTATTGACTTTGGACCATTAGTTTTGAAATTATCCTCAGAACGCTGACGTAAGAGTGAAAAAACGCAGTTTTGAGAAAAATGGCTTTAAAGTTGAAGTACATGAAAAATGTAAGTCATTTAAACTTTTCTGGCATATCGGTAATTTATACAAATTTTGGTGATGTCCCATGATATGATTTACGTAGAAAAACTAACCTGGACTACTCATGGGCACCAGCAAGATAGAAATCTTCGATGTCTTCACACTCCCTTGAAGCCGCTACTTTCCGTGCTCGTCGTTCAGCTGGCAGAAGTCCGGCAGCTGCTGCATGAATTCTTGTTCTGTCTAGTTCATTACAACACAGTCTGGTATACAATCCAGTAGACATCCCCAACTTCTCAAATATAGGCAGCCTACCCCTCTCTCCATCATTGAAAACCACTGCAGCATCAGCAACTGCAAGAGTAAGCCTTTGCCTTCCAACAAAACCAGCCTTTGGACACCTTTGCCAAATTAAATTGTGAAAACTTTCATTTGTATTTTGTGTTCCTCCATGGGCACACTTTGACAGTAATGTCTCACTGGCAAGAGTTTCAAAAACAGGCCTGATAGCCTTGCACACATAAGGAGGGAGAGCATTCCTGTCAGAGTCTCCAGCTGGCTGCTTCTTGGAAGGACACCAGTCTCCACAGTTAGTGTGATCACGGTTGCGGTGCTCCCATATGGCCCATATATCTTTTTGCATCTGTGGCACATTATTAGTATTTCTTCTTATTGCAGCCCCATAATGTCCTTGAATGTTTAACATTGCCTTCTTTGTCAGACAACCTCGCCCACCGATTCCTTGCACACTCTTGCCATTGTGTATAAAGGTCTCTTTTTCAGCTCAGTTACCTTATTGGTCAGGTGTCGCCCCATTCTCTTCTGCACGTGCCCACAACACTCAAGAATTGCCAGATAGGCCTTGCAAAGCCGAATCGAATGCAACTTGAATGAAGTTTCTAGGACGTCTACAAGCCGAGATGCAACATTTTAAAATTTACGCATATATAATGAGCTTGAATACATAGAAAAACAAGTCACACATGCTTCACAAAGTGCTGAAATACTGCATTACAAAAGATGCTAACAGAAAAATGGTTCGCAGATTTATATTCTAGGATGACTGCAGTTGACATTTGTATGGTTTTCCAAAATGGTCAAAAATTACGACTTTTCAGATTTTTCAGCTTAGACTCTCCCCTTAAGTATACTACTTATTTTAGAGCAATCTCTGAAACGCTGGAGAAGGCGATCAAAATGTTTGGTGAAACATTGAAGGCGTTGCACTATGAAATTTCCTCTCCGAAAACACTGACAGGCAATAACTTCCAGGTGAGTCGGAAAATTTAAAGTCACCTGCAACCATTTTGGCGTGCAGAATCTGCCGATGGCTTCGACAGAAGGCATCAGATAGATGGAAGAGCATAAGATTTGGTGGGGAACCGTACACCACTCGCACAAACCGCCATAGAACTTGGTTGTTTAGCAAGCTAGGGGACTCCACATTGAAGCATCCAGAAACGTGTAACATTGATACTAAAACAAGTAGTAGCGTTTATGAAACCAAACTGTATGAAGCAGATTGGCGATAGTACATCACTGGCGCCTGCTTGCAAGCTAACGGTGTTCGGAGAAGGGTGTACTTGGGTAGCATTCCAATACAAGTCACGTGCGGGATTTCAGACGAAGTAAAAATAGGCGTCATACACCTATATGTGCATGCTGGTATCGCCTCGGTTCTATTTCACAAAGCCCAGATCCGGTGCATAGAGGAAGAGGAGGAAAAGGTCGCTTAGAGGCAGGTGCTGAATAACGGATACTCTAGACAATTGGTGAAAACCCAGTTGCAGTAGGTTCTAAACCCATGTCCGCGGCATGGGTTGGGACTGTGAAGATTTCGAAGAGAAGAAATAAGGATGCTTTCCCAGAAGTGTCGAATTCGCCGTTCAATACTGATGCATGTGAAGGGCTTAAAGCTGGCCGATAGAACTGCTACTCGGGTCCACAAATTTAGCTGCAAGAACTGTGCACATATAAAGATAGGCTAAACCGCTGGTTAGTAGCGCACGAGGTTATCAGAACACAAGAGGCGGATGTCAAGGGGCATCGAGGAATGTGTGTTTAGCGATAGATTCGGCAGTAGCGCACAGGCGATAGACGCAGATCGCTAAGTGGGGATTGCGATCAATACTCAGCAGCTGATTGTCGAGGTGTTAGTCATCACCCAAGCTGAGGTTTTCAGAAGCAGCAAGGGTGTGGTGGAGCTGTCCTGACTCGGTCAGTCTCAGCAGCGTCAGTGGACAGATTCGGGATAGACAGAGAAAAGCAAATCAGACCTACCACATCAATGGTAGAGCTTATGTGTGATGATATGGTACGGTGAACGAATTGGAATGTTTCCATTGGTAATGAGTCAACTGAAAGGACACCTTGACGTGTAACATGATTCACATCCCCCACTTACATCTTGGAAATCGTCTTAGTTCACCATATATATTCTAAGCCTTGTTTGCGGACGACATGAAGATTTGGAGAGAAATTGACGCTCCCGATGACTGTGGCCTACTTCAGCAAGACCTCAACCGCCTATCCACATGGTCTGCAGCAGTTCGTCTCCCGGTCAACCCAGCCAAGTCTGTATTTATGAGCCTGGGGAAGGGTGCTGACGGCCGAACCTACACACTTGACGGCCAACCGCTATATCCCACACCCTCCATGAAGGACCTAGGTGTGCTATCGCGCTACGATTTGAAGTCAGTGGACAGCACGAACAGGCTATATCGGAACGGACTGCGCTTGCTTTGGGCGCTCAAACGTAGCTTCGGCACATGGTCTGAAGAGGTTGCCACTCGCCTGCTCTCTTCTATCATTAGACCAATGCTAGAGTACGGTTCGCCCGCCTACTTTCCGATTACCCGAGGCAAGGCACAAAAGCTCGAGCCGGTCCAACACGTTGCTACTAGGCTCATCTCGAGTTTACGTGGATTGGGGTATGAAGACCGGTACGAGAAACTAGGACTCTACACCTTGTCCTACCGTCGGGTGCGGGTCGACCTCATTATAACCTACCGTATTCTACATCTCGGTGCTAAGGCCAATGCTGAACTTACGTGGGCCATGCAGCACGCGCGGACACAGATACAAACTTGTCGTGCCGGATGTGAAACGTGTTTCCCACCCACTGTGCTTCGAACGGAGAGTGGTAAATATTTGGAACAGTTTGCTTGAGCATGTGATGGAGGCAACATCTGTGCGGCAGTTCATAAGGTTGTTAGATTTATATTTCAGCACTAATCAATTCAGAGAACAACTGCACATTTGCGATGACATTTGTGAGTCCTGCAATATCGTGAGTCAGTTATTTTAAATGTTACATGAGATAGACAACGATATTCACGACTGACAATTTTTATAACGTTTTTCACCATATTTTGAAACAGTTGTACAGAATTCATTTCTACTTGCTCTATAATACAGTATTCATCTAATGCTTCACTTAGGCGGACGAAGACTTAGGGTCAAAAGTGAAACACATTCCCCATCAACTTTCTTAAGCGGCATATTATTAGTGGGCAATGTTTCGATCAGCTGCAAGTGTACTTCCAGATGGTGAACACAGATGGGAGCGTTTACAGCATTCCACACTGCGGATACAATAAGACCAAACAAATTGACATGAAACACAGAGAAAGTTTAGACTTTCACTCGGGCATCCTGCCAAGCAAGGTGTGCACCCTGCCACTAGCGTCGACTAACAATTGGGTGAGTTATGACACGATAGAATTGCAATACGATGAGGCACGAGAAAGCCTGGCCTTGGGGTACGACCGTTTAAAAGAATTGGATAGCATATTCAAAAAGGTAGTGAAAGAAGCCACCTACGATCATCTGGGATAAAAAGTAGATATATACTTCGAAACGTTTGCCAGCGAGAGGCGCTTCTCTTAATTCAACGAATCGGAAACTAAGTATTAGCAAGCATACATGTCGCATATAATCCATAAGAATAATTCCATTGAAAAATCAGGTGACCGGAATAACTATTGAAGGGGGAATACGTGCAGTTATAGATCTTAGAAACAAGCTACAGGTTACAGAGAGTATTTTGAGTTTGTTAGTATAAAAGGAGTCTTCTGGTCTGATGTATGGGCCAAGAGGAATTTCTGGGTAAGAAATCGGCAAAATAATTCACGAAAAACAAACGAGGTAATTTCCAGTCACTCAGACCAAGGGAAGAGAGGTGATGAGAGAACCGCAGCCTACGATAACGGGGGAAAACATAACGTCACAACAATGAAGGGTTCGGCCAATCCACGAGTGCATCGAATCTCTGTTGGAAATATGAGGAGTGCCCAATGTTGAGCATACACACTCAAAAATGACGCCGTCAGCGTAGTTACACCGGAAACTGCTACGGGGATAGAAGAGCTGCCTGTGCAGATCTTTCCCCACACAAATGTATGAAGTCTGAAAGATTAGTAAAATGGAATGGTATCAGACCACTTAAATCCTGGGGATATATATTTTTTGAACAAAAGTCTGAAAACCAACAATTTCATGCGGCATACGAACGCATTTGTATAATCGAGGAACGGGGCTGCACGGGTCTTGCGATTTTATCGTATTCAGGACAAGATGGAGTTTAGAAGATATAAAACCGCTTCCAGTGTAAGGCACCATGCCCTATAGGCAAACTTGTAAACATAATCAACACTAGTGCTGGTGAAATGCGGGAGATGAACAGCTTTTTGAAGACACGCAAGCATGCGGATGACTCTCCCGCGATTCCTTTTTAAATAGGTGTTATTCTGTTTACCTTCCAGATGTCAGTAATTGTGACACTTGTTAAGCACCGGTTAAATATCTCTGCCGAAGGCATCTGCAAGATATCAGCACACTCATTCAAAGCGACGGATGGCGAACCATCGGGGTCACGGACCTATTTGTAGGTTGCATGCGAACACTAGCATAGTAGCTAGTGTACATGCCAATAAAAATAGCTTGTGTGTTGGTCAAGTACATAGTGCCAAAAAAAGTCGCGGCGCATTGCAAAAGTTGTCATATCACGTGATGCAGAGCCTAGATGTTACTTGTTCTCCGGTTCAGACACGGTGCCGGTGATATCAATGGCTCACGTATACCATGGTCTTAACTGCGCTTATGTGATGCAATACAACCACATAACAAAGGCTCAAAAACGTACCGAAATGGATGGTTTGACGCACAACATCCTTGGGGCCACTTAGACGTAAATTTGAACACTAAAAGTAAATTTCAACGTGTAAAATAATCAACACCATGCAATTTTCATTTGTAGTGCTGCATTAAGGAGCTAGAAAGTGTGCGAACTCTTGTGCTGGGCAATTTAAAGGAGCAGCGCGCAAGACAAAATACATCTTCAAGAAAGAAAACGACAGACGAATCATCACGTGGAACGTGTACACATTCCAAAATCCACAGAAGCCAACGTTTGGAAAAAGCGATTCAGACTGCCGATAGCTGATTTACACACCGGATCAGACAAGGTGAAAGTTGGAGATCGCCTTAGGCATTGTCTTGTTCACTTACGGATCATGTGTTTTCTATTTTTCACACTTGGAACATCCATTGCTAACAAAAATATTGGAAAACTAATTTTATTTGTGATCGCGTCGCGGGTTCAAGGGTTGGCGAGGGCATCGGTTGATATAACCCGTCAGCGTGAAACAGAGGACACGGCCAATAGGTTTCTGAACTGCTTACGAGACCTTTAGCTTTGAAAACGTTGCAATTACCAGTTCTGTGGCTCCGTAACAAATGTGGTGCTCAGAGCGTGTGTTAATAACCACACATAATCCCGTTGAGTAAGCGAAACCATTGTATAGCGAAGTGGTAGTTAGAAGTTAGGAATCTACAGGCAACTACTGAGTGCAGCAGTCATCGTCATCATCATCATACACGTTAGCTAGAGGTGGGGAACACCTCAGCTACTGTGCCGCAATACACAGAAAAAAGTAGAAAAAAAGAATGCAACTGGTGCAAGCCGGCTGAGCTACCGGTAACGGATGGGCATCGTTCCGTAAGCTACCAGCCGGCTACTATGAACGAAAATAATTACTATGCAAAATTACATAAGGCTAAATAACAAGATCGTGGTTGGAGGGGGAGGCTAAGCGGGATGGGGTGGGACAAAGAAACTCACAGCACGAACGCCACTGAGGTCGGCTCCTAGGCATATCAGCAAGTGTATCCAACCAAACGTGTTCATCGTCTTTCGGACCCCAACCAGGGAGCCGAGACGCTCCAACCGAGGCCAACTCAGAAGTGAGGACCCTCATTTCTCTCGACCAAGTCATCGCTTGGCCACCCCTCCTCTTCTTCCATCCACACCCTCGGCGCGTAAACAACGCACGTCGCGGGAGTCGGTGGGCTGGCATGCGTAACACCTGACCGAGCCATCGGAGCCTGGTGCGTGAATTGACGATGCTGAGCGGTTCATTTTCTTTTCCTGTGCCGTAAACAAGACGTCGAACACGCTCGTTGCTCACGCGGTGTTCCCACCAGATGTGAGCTAAATTGCAGCAGTAAATAGCTACCACTGGCGAGCGGCCATTCCCCTGGAATGTGGTTTTCATTTGTATCTCGTGTAGACGGTTCACCTTTGTTCGGTGACAGGTACCGATGAGTTAAGAAAGACGAACCGCTTTTTACAGCTTGATGCCGGATAGCACGGTTTGTTTTTCAAAACACTGGGCGCATTGGAAACAAGAACGAACATGGCACGGTGCCGAACGCTTATAAAAAACGTGCAGAACAATAGCTACCTTGAGTTCAGGGTTGGTACATGCTTCGGAGCTTGAAAATTAAAAGCAATGTCATCACCTGTTATACTACTTGTTCCAAATCCCAAATGAATAACCATATCCGGGTCGGTAAAATCTGACTGCCGTTCCAATGCTGGAGCCGCCAAATGATGCGTTGCCTTCCGTGGGAATGTATGCACCAGGGGAAATGGTTACCATGTGCTGAGGATAGCAACGGAGCAGGATATTTTGACAATCGTTGCTCCTATCGATCATATCTTTCGAAACAACGAATGGCGAATTCCTCAAGTCAGGGCTTAGAACCAATGCACGCTTAGCGTTGCACCTGACTGTGATTTTCGACATAAACTGTGTAGTTCAACTGAGTCACGTTACCAAATAACAGTAAACCGCCCACATAGATACGCATTGCTTACCCAAGCCCAAATTAATTGAGAATGGCCACAGCTTAGTCCGCGGTCACTGTGGCTGAAATGGGTTCGAGAGGAGCAGTCAGGTTACTGCGCGTTGTCTTAAAAGTCGGCCGTTCAGACACACAAGGTGTACTTCACTGTCAAGTGGACAAAACCGAAGCGTCGACAGTTTGTACGCTATCTACGGGTAATCTTAACGGACTATGTATTATCATATACCACCCAATTCCTTATTGTGTGCTTTTTCCGTCACCGGAAAAAATTGGAAGGTTATCTACAAATTTTTGTGAAAACTGTGCAAATCTTTATCAAACATTCTGTGATCCGCCTTGTAGTGTGATTTTCCCTACGCATTTCATCACACGTCGCCCAAGTTCCACCCATCCGACACGGAATTACCAGCTCTATCTAGTGGATCGTCTTACCGGTTTTGGAGATTTCTCACCTAGCCGTCCACATCGGCTGACGGCGATCGATCTACCATGCAGTCGTCTCAACCGCGCGCTGTCGCGAACAGCACTCCGGCCATAAAACAGGAGCAAAAGTCACACCGGCAGTCATCTGACAGTGCGCCTTTTGGACCGGCTGGTGAACTGAAACCAGCGTACGTTCAACACCTTGGAAAATACCAACCGGTTGTTTTCAAACCTTTCTGAAATCAGTGTGCGTCCGTTTCAAGTCAGGGTAGGTGGCTTTTAGCGCGTTCTTTCTTACTCCACAGGGCATTATGTGATCAAGAAACGAAGTGTCCGCATCCACCTGTCTGACTAGGGTATGCAACCGGCCAGTCGGAAAAATACGCAACATCAACTAGCCTACTGTGTAAGGTAGCAACACTATGCCAAGTAGCAGAAAGCAATTAGATGCGAATCCAAAATAACTCCGAAGAACGTGATCGATTAGGCAAATTCGGTATACCTTACACACACTGTTTCAGATGGTACCACCCAAAACGTGCAAATCTTCCCCAATAACATGTGAGAGCTCGAAACAGCTCAGAAGACGATATCTGCTTTTGTACTGCGTGTTCGACCATCCCACTGATCAAATGTATACTTCTCCTAGTCCAGTAGTGCAAGGAGTTAACAGAAGTAGTTGTGGAACGAGCGAACGCTAAGATTATATCACTGGAAGCGAGTATGCACCATGACAACATAGTGGCTTCAAAGAGAAGCAATGGTGCAAAACTTGCCTCGTTCGAACCACGGTTGACAAACTCCCCTTTGCCGTTATCTTCTTTGGAAGGAGGCCAGGCGAAACCAGACAGCTCTGATGGACAAGCGGTATTCAGGACCCGAAAATCAGACACCACTCGAAACGCGTGATGGATCAAATTCAGTCGGACCTGACAACTTGTATCATTAACAAGGATGGGACAGCCGAACCCGAGTCCAATGCATCTGTAACCCAAGGGTCTCTGGTTGAGTTCAAATCTCCTGAGATTAGGCACATATGCAAA